GAAAGATTTGTATATATGCTACTGTAGTGGCGTATCGCCACAGATTGGCACTATGACGCCACGGGTGACATATTTAGCACCTATTTTCTTAGTTCAAGGCGAATTCGACCATTCGACAGCGCAATGCCGATAAGGATAATTGTGACTGTAGGTCAGATCAGGGCCCTCTCTAAAGAATTTAGATGTGCTTTCATGTACTCTCTATCTTATCTAAGTTTCAGTTTAACATACATCATCAAAAGTGTACCAAACGTTAACATTGCTGAAGGTCACTCTAAGCCAAGCTCATTCTTGACCACGTGTGTCCTTACGAGAGTTTCATGATGAGCCATCACCTAGGTTGTGTTGTCAAATTTCTTCGCAGAAGACTGAAGAGGTCACACGAAAGTGTTAAAACTAGTTTATGTTCTTAAACTTTATACTAGTATATGTTCCAAAAGATTTTTTTCGTTGATTTAGCTAACATACAATGTACTGTGTAACTTGCATTACTCTCACTGTTAGGTTGTAGCTAGTTAAGCTCTAATTAACTCACTTAGTTTCTAGCAGGTAAACTCTTAATTAAATCAGTTTCTGACCATGTAATCTCTAACTAAACCACTGCTAAGTTTCTAACCAGTTAAGCTCTGACTAGAACACTGTTAGTTTCTGGCCAGATAAGCTTTGACTAGACCACTGTTAGTTTTTGACCATGTAATCTCTGACTAGACCACTGTTAGTTTCTGACCATGTAATCTCTGACTAGACCACTGTTAGTTTTTGATCATGTAATCTCTGACTAGACCACTGTTAGTTTCTGACCAGGTAAGCTCTGACTAGACCACTGTTAGTTTTTGACCAGGTAAACTCTGACTAGACCACTGTTAGTTTTTGATCAGGTAAGCTCTAACTAGACCACTGTTAGTTTCTGACCATGTAATCTCTGACTAGACCACTGTTAGTTTCTGACCATGTATGCTCTGATTGTTAAAAAATAGTTGGTCAGCATAATTCAGTAAAAATATCTTTAATTTTAAATATTTAGGATTCTTATGTTTGTTTTTTGTTTATTAAGGATTTGTTAACAATTAGGAATTAACACACCAAGCACTTCAGGAAGAATAACTTGACATACACACCACATATCATAATAATGTCACTAAGGAACTCCTGATAGCAATCACCTTTAAAATAAGTACAGGTTTAATGGCAGGTCACACGGGTATTTCCTGTTGCACAGAGCTGAGACACTCCTATTTAAGCCTTTAAACTTTCATAATGGTATAATTTATACTTCATGGCAGTACAAACTTTAATTCTGTTGAATAAAAATACTTGAATTCTCTCTACAGTAAAATGAAATTAGATTTGTCAACTCGTTTATTAGAAGATACAGCTTTAATGGATTTCAACATACATTTATCATTTATCTATACTTTCTTCCCATTTAATAACAAGTTGTCACTTTTGTATTATAACTGTAACAGAACAGGAAAATGTTAAATTTCATCATCATAAACTGAATAGCTTTATTTTAAACTTTTAACTCTTAAAGGAACAAATGCAACAAATTTATTACACCTTGGATAAATAACCACATTCCAGATAATCTAATTTCACAGTTGTGTCTGCCAGATAGAGCACCAAATTCCTGACAAGTTTACAAAGTTAACAACCATTCCAAGTTTTAATTTTGTTTCTCGGTAATTAGATTACACTACGAGGAGTAGCATTCTGTCTGCTGTTAGTTGAATGAGGTAACTAAAAATTCAAGTTCTGTTAATTAGAAGAGTAAAGTACCACAATAAAATTATAAGTAAATTCACTTCTTCTATCACTCTTGTAGATAATGTCTTTTTTCTTATAAAGACGCATTCATACATGCTATGCAACTGTTTCAGATAAATAGATAACTTAAAACTTAAGCCAGACTTTACTTCTAGTTTTTTTTTTTTACATATATCTTTCTTCATTACGAATCTAAATTCAATTATACAGAGTGTAATATATAGTATTTTAACTGAGAGTGGCTCCTTACTGTGGTGCTTTATCTATTAGTGTTTGCTCATTTTCTAGATAGGCCAACCTGGATAAAATCAAGTACTCTAACAGAAGTGTCAAATTACACCTCAAATAATGACTCTACTAAGCCTGTTAGCTTAGCAGAAAGAATAGCTTGCACACATTTCAAAGTAGTTATATTTTATCTTCAGTTAAAAAAACAACAACAAAGTTTTATGCTTCGAAGTATTTTTCTTAACGCTATAAGGGCAACTCGTAACTCAACAAAATTTCACTTTAACTCTGTACTAGTACACTAGAAAATGTTGTGAATACAGATTTTTCAAAAACTGACGTTATTTTCACACTCCTTATTGACAATTTTAGGCAATACCCAACTGCGTCAAAGTTCATTAATCTAAAGGAATTTAGATTTTAAAACTCTGACTGAACTTTTGAAGAAAGCTCTAGCTTAAAGATGCCAGTATGTGAGAAAGACATCAAAACGTAAGATCTATCACACCCGCCAGTCTGCTAAACCGTTAAAATAGGTTCAACTTCAATAAAATTAACACATATTAAAAAATACTTGAGAAACACTTTATTGACAACAGGGTACATGAAAAATAAAAATATTTTAGGCTTTAAAGTATTTTCTTTTATTCAAGCACACACACAAATGTTTGGCTACAAGATGTCACCACTGAATATTTATAGAATCAAGTATCGTAAAAAGAAAAAAATTCAGTTTATCAGTCATCCATCTGTTTTGCAAAAATATTTTTGTCGTGTGGATTTGGGCCAACTATACATAAATCACAGAGATAATCTTGCAAAATCACAACAATTTGCTTCAGCATTTTCTGTACAGACAGATTAATCACTTAAAATCTTCCTCTTTATAACAGACATGAACAGGGAAATACTTTAGAATCAGCGATTATTATTCTGTATTTTGGCTCCCACTGTCATTCTCAGTTGTTTAATACTAGTTGTTTAAACAGATTTAAAGCTAAGATATTTCTATTTTTATTAGGGGAATACTTTTTTTTCTATAAAAAACATTTTCTAAACAAACATCTTGCATTACATACTGTATTCACATGAAATATCACAAGCAGTATGATAAGCATTTCATAATTTATCGCATTTTTACTTATTCATAAAAAAAAAAATCCAATCTTTTTTTTCTCTTGATTAACTAGGAAATGTTGACTACAGATTTTTTTAAGTCTGACAATTTCTAGAAATCTCTTAATCTCAACTACATAAAGGAAGAAACTTTACACAAAATGATAAACTCTAAGCAGCAAAAAAAATTGTGTCAAATTTCATTAACTTACAAGAAAATACCAATCTGTTAAATAGTATTAGCTTCCTATCAAGATTAAGACTCGTACAACTACTAAAGAAGTTTCTTTTTTAATGATATTATCGATCAATATCTTTATTAGAATTTTTTAAGTAACTTAATTGATCCCAGGGGTATATGTTTATATATTTTTTACTACTGCTTTCTTAAATTTGATGAAAACACTAATTAAAATGCAGCTTAACTAATTGAAATGGAAAAACAAAATTTATATAACAATAATCCCAGAAATAAACTTCGGTACTGGCATGCAAATTTTCTTTAAATAAAAATTTGGCTTTTTTTGTTTTTGCTTTAACAACAACAACACAAAAAAAAACATGAACAAAACACATTCACTGTAAAATGTACTGTTAGAAAACTAAGTGCTAGAAAGTATGCATTGCTACCTTAACAAGTTTAATAACATCAACTGGTACACGCACACACATACAGAATTGAAAAACCTCTATTCACACATTTGGAGAAAGTCAATTTTCGAAGAGATACGGGATCCTACAAAGATGTGTACGTAATTTATCAAAATGTATTAGAGAGTGAATGTTTAGCTGAACTTTTTACCTTGATAAAATTCATAACTGTAATTACTGTATCTATATATAGGTACACCTTCCAAATACACTCTGGCTACCAGGTCAGAACAAGCCTCCCAGTGAGACACTGTAAAATGTTTTTTAAAAGATTCCACAAATTGAAATACAGAATTAAATCATATAAATAATTTATATTCAATTAATAATAGATGAGTGTTTTTATAACAACTTAATATTTCTACGATTGGCTTGATGTCTTTGGATAGATTCTCGTCCACAACTACAAAGCTATTAAACCAACGTGATTTATCCCTAAACTGCAATCTGAGCTTTAAAAATATGTCTCATATGAAGAGGTCGACAGAACTGTTTCTTTTTTAAAATTGTTTCAAAGTATTTAAATTTCATTAGTGTTGTCAGCTTTCTTTAGAAATGTTGTTAATGTAGTTTATGTGATGTGGAAAAGCATCATCTTGAATCTTGTAATATATTATCAACATCAGCTACACAATGGGTTATCTGTGTTCTTCCCACCAGTGGTATCAAAACCCAACTTTTAGCATTGTAAGCCTATAGACTTACCACTTAGCCACTGAAGGGCAAACTTTCTATGAAGCAATTCATTACTTTGTATATTTGGCGACATATTTTATCAATTCATTACTTTGTGTGTGTGTGTGGCGACAGATTTTTATCAATTCATTACTTTGTGTGTGTGTGTGTGTGTGTGTGTGCGAACTAAATTTTATTACTATACTTATTACTTTGTTGTGTGTTGTGTGTGTGTGACAACAGTTATTTATTATATTACTACTTTACTTTAGTTGTAGTTGG